CTGACAAAATACACTGCTGAGGGGAGCAGCAGGTGAGACAGGAGAGGTCTGCCTTGCCATGTGGGTTTCTCCCTGGCTGGCTGCAGATAGAACTCATGCTACAGAGGCTATGGATTTCTTCATAGTGCAGTGCTTAACCCCTTGTGCCACCAGAAAGGCCCAGGAGTTTTTCTTGATACACTGTAAGTTCTTGGATCCTACTTATTAATTAGTTGTCCATATATGGGTCCCAAATCTGTTCCATTGAACTGTGTGGCTGTTTCAGTCCATTACAAATGGCTTAAATTACCATCTCTTTTTCTTATAGTTTGAAGTTGAGGAGTATGGAAATAATAATTCATGATCCAGTTACCCCTCTTCTGGGTATTTATCTATTTTTTTTAAATCACATATTTGAAGATGTTTATAACATATATAAACATATATAACATATATAAACATGTTTATAACATGTTTATAACTCCAAATGTTTATAACATAACAATTTACAGTAGTTATGAACTAGAAACAGTGTCCATTAATGGAGGAATAGATAAAAAACTATATTGTATATAAACACAATGGAATACTATTCAGCTATTTAAAAAAATTCTGAATTCCTTCCAGTTGCAAAAATGGATTACATAGAGACATGTATTAAGGTAAAAAGCTTAAAAAACTAAAGTTGAATATTCAGTGTTCTTGGCATAATAAAGCCATTTAAAATCATCAGTGTGGATTCATTTCCTTTAAGCAGTAGACTGAGAAAACAGCAACACTCAAGATTTATTTGTTGAACATCCACATATTCAGAACTCAGAATAATAAGGAAGAACAAGCAAAAGAGGCTTAGAAAATGCAGTCTGTAAAGTAAGGAAGGAATTAAGACAGCTAATGTGATATCTGGCAAATCAAGTTGAAATAAACTATTTGAGAAAGGAGGGATGATCAACTATGGAAATGCCATATAGACTCAATACAAGGAGGTCTAATAGTTGTGCATTTTATTTGGCAAAATGGAAGGCACTGTTCACTTTGATATGGCCTAGTTTAATGAAAAATTGGAAGCATGATTTGGATAGGGTTGAGAAAAAGCAAGAATGTATTCTTGTTCAGTCAAGATGTCAGTAATTGTATTGAATAATTCCAAACCTCCTAAAGGAAATTAGAAGATCAGAACTTAATAGTCAAATAAAATTTCAAGGAGAACATCTTTAAAATAAGAGGCCAATTAAGTGAATATTGACTTAATTCAGGTTGAGAGAATTTGGTGCTTGTAGTCTGAGTGCTAAGAAGGAAATGAGACATGGTTTGATCTTTTGTATAATTTTAAAGAGGAACCAATAGGATTCCCTGAAGGATTGTATGTTGGGTTTGAAAGAAAGACAGGCATCTAAGATGACTCTGTATATTTGAACAGAGCGTCCAGGGCGGTACTGTTGCCTTCATTGAAATGACAGTGATTTTATTTTTTTAAGAGCAAGTCAGTTCATTGCACCTAGCTGATTAAAATCTTCCAATGGTTTTTCTCAATTAATTTAGAGTTAAATCAGAAGCTTTTATTATGGTATACCCCTTTACACTTCCTAACAAATCTCAGTTCCTATAATATTACAATCTTAAATTTTTATCTGACAATTAATTGTATTCAACCATATGATATTATTTATAAACATCATGTATTATTTTTTCCATGTGTATGTCTTTCTGTACATAAATGAATCATAAGCTGCTTTAATTAAAACATGCTTTTTCTCAGGATTTAGCAGTAGTCTAAGTATGTACATAGAAGATGTTCACACAAATCTTTTTAGTAATTAAAGGAAATAATATGAAGGAAAATCTTGTTTAGTATATATCTGGCATAAGTACACAGTTGAATTAGTTGAAATAACTAAAGTTCTGCATATTCAAGTAATGTGGATGTTTGGCTAGATGTCTAACAGCTAAGAGACTAGCCAGGTTTTCTGGAGTACGCTGTTTAATATATCAATTTTTTCTGACTACAAAATTAGTTTCACCTTTTAGATTTTACACATCACTTTAAAGTAGATTAATAACCTAAACTAATAATAATGCGTTTCCATTGTTTTGAGTTACATGCTTCTATTATGAAAAGAAGTGCTACAGATGATTTCAGTGCAAAAGGGCCTGAACTAAAAGAGATTTTGGAAATATTTCATAAAGAGCTTAAATGTAACAAAAACTAACTGAAGATTTATATTTTTATGAAAGAGTTTGAAACAAAGGAAGGAAAGATTGGATAGTTTCAGCTGATATAACAACTTTAAAATCTTATATAGGATTGTCAGATGTTTTAACATAAAATCTTGAAGGATTCAACTAAGAGTAGTAAAAAAGCAGGTGTTTGTTCTAAAACTAGATGACCAAAACAATGAAAACTTCCAAGGTAAAAAATTAATGAAAAGAAAACTCATACATATGTTATAAAAGGTAAGTATTAACTCAGATATAAGCCAGATACTCTCCTGTGAATTGAATTTTAATAATCATAGAAGGTTCTGTTTAGTCAAAAAGGTTCTATTTGATGGGTTATACATGTGGTAGGTAGAGAAGTTGGTTTATGAATGATGATAATTGGACAAAAGCAGAATCGTGAGTTTCAAATTTGGAGATTGATTTGGATATCATTAATCCTACCTGTTTGCAGAATTTTCCATTTTCAAGCATTAATGGTCAGTCACTGTTTTGTGACTTATAAATTTATTTCTATGGAAGTCATTTGTCCGAGTTCCTGGGTTGTTTTATTTTTAAATGAGTTATAACATGAAAAGCATATATGTATGTTTTGTAAAACTTTGCAGTATTATCTAGTTAAAAAAATAATATGTGATCCAGATTCTGTGATTAAAGGTAAATAAATTATCCATTATTTGGAATTAAGTAAATTATGTAGGAGACTAAATTCTGTAGCCATTTAAGTCTCTTAATATGTGGCCTGAGCTAATGTTAAATAAAGGTAGCTATAGATCAAGGTAACTGATCAATGATCCTAGGCAAATTAACCCATCAAAAATGAACAAGCTTCCAAATACTGACCAACCAGATGAACATGACTCAATCAACATCAAAATCAATGAGGTGAAAACAGTCTGCCTTCAGTGAAAATCAATGGTGGTGAAAATGGACTTCCTTGAACTTGACTTTTACAGAATTGGAGTCTGCCTGGAATAACAGAAATGAACTTCATTCATAACAGAGTCCTGCCTCTTTGTAGTGCTTTTAAAATCTCCTAGAATTTAACAATAATTCCATGTTAGAGTACTTGGAATCTTTCAAACTCAGTTAATGCCAGAAATTTCAAATATAAAGAAAAAGACAATTACCTTGTAAGCTGTAGATGGTTCTATCATCTAAATAATCACATCATTAAAGAGTTATTAAATAAACATTTGTCCATCATTTAAATTCCCCAGGCATTCCTATCCTCTTATTTAGCTATTCCAAAGCACAACAAAGTGTTTTTGCAACATAGTTCAAAATAAAATTGTTAGATGAAAAGTATGTATAGTATACTTTTGCTACCCTATTTTTGTTCCCAAACAAAGCAACTTTGTCCAGTTTAAGTATAGTTCTGCATTTCAATCTGGACACAGGAATTGTAATGCAAGGGTACTAGAGGTTCTGTGTCCATTACTCCACCTTTGCAAACTTATTGATCCATACTTCCTACACCACTCATTCAGCCTCCTTTCTCCTCTAATATAAACAACACAGGCCCTAAATTCCTAATAATAAAACCTTGCCATTTACATGCTATGAGATTATGGTTTTTCCCCAAGGTACATTTGTTAAGTTGAGATTTCTGATTTTCCAAATATGCAGTCTTTAATAATTGGGAGGCAAAATTCAGTAATTTGGAGCCAAAGTAACATGCCTTTTTATTGAAGTTCTTTGAAAAGTGCAGCTAATGATTTATATTTCTCTTTATTAGAGATCAGGAAACCTTTTCTGTAAAATGATAGTAAATATCTTGGGCTTTGTGGGATGTAAAATCTTTGACAAAATCCTTTGTTCTGCCATAAAAGTTAAAAGATGGCCATAGAAAATGCATAAAGTATAAGCATGGCTCTGACTGATGAAAATTTAAATTGTATTCATTTTATTTATCACAAAATAGTATTCATGTTTGATTTGTTTGAAACTAAATGTGAAACTAAAAATCTATTTTGTTGCTGGCTATGCAAAAAGAAGTTGGGCAAGATTTGGAGTTTGTCAGCTCCTGTTCTAAGGTAAATATATCTACAGGTATACATAGTTTAAGTCCTTGTTACAAGTAAGTGAGTGAAAAGTTCAAACCCATTAAATACCACCAGCTTCTATCATATTTTTCCTGACTATTAAAATTTTGGGAGCTTGATTTGCCATCTTATTATTGCTTTATTAACTTAATGCATCTTCTTTAGTGGAAACACTGATTCCATACTACCATATATTAATCACAATATCAAACGTATATGGAATAAAGGAAAATAATCACTGTCTTCAAGTTTCTCACATTAGGTATAAATATTTCATAATAGATATATTTTAGATAGTATTTCAGTCCATTTGTTGTAATATAACATTAGTTAAACACAGTTTGGATTAGGGTCAAAATAAGAGGGGGTACAGTTGTATGGGAAATATAACCAAAATGGAAATGCATACATTGTGCAAAAATGAAAAATGATGTAAGAATTATATAAAATAAAATATTAAAAAAAACTAATTTGAATCAATTGCCATAAAAGTTATCAGTCTCTTTTTAAACATGTAATTTGTAGATTTATGATCTATTGTATTTTAAACAAACTCATTATCTAATTAAAATATGATATATATAAAGATTATTTGAACTTTATAATCAAATATCACACATATTACACATTTTATAAATCTCCATCTTTTCTTAACTAATGAGACATTATTATTATCTCTTTGGTTTAACTTAAAATACTTTTTTGGAAACAGTACCCTAAAATAAAAATCTCAGTTGTGATTCTGTTCATTTTACTTACAGTTACTAAAGTATTCAACAAATATTTTCTCCATTCCCACAAATGGTTAGGCACTATTCTAAGAACTTATCATTCTAAGAACTTTACACTGATTCATAAATAGGGCTCATTGTCCTTGTGATGAGAACACATTCATTCTAGTAATACAGTAAAAATGGATGAATATTCATAGTTGGAGAACAAATTGAAATTTGAAAGTACACTTTTGTGTGCAGTACTATGATAGGGTAAGAGGCATTGTGATGATCGTTATTGTTACTTGGGGTGTCTTCTAGAGGGAGTTGCTCAGTGCTAGTGTCTATAGCAGTTCAAAAATAAAGATTTGTAAGAACAATGAATCATAGCCAGAGTTGAATTAGGTTAATGTTTGAGAGTATCTGGAGGACTGCAAAGAAAAGTTGTAATTAAGTTATTGCTTTTATTAATATAAAAAGAAATTACTCATGTAGGCATAAATCATTCAAGACATTTATTTCCTAAGGTAGTTGAACAAAAATCCCCAATCAAGTACGGTCCTTTAAGTCCTTTTACCCTATGGTGTTTTGAGCTCCTGCTTCTGTATATGATCTATTAAAAGCACTGTGTTCTGGGACACTATTCAAAACTTCCTCAAATGGCTTTTTCTGGAGCCTCTCTGGTGGTGCAGGGGTTAAAGTATCTGTGCTATCAAGCTTTCACTATCACTGCAGCATGACTTATATCCTAGCCAGGGAACTAGCCCACCAGCCAGGGAGCTAACCCACATGGTACAGCAGACCTCTCCGGTCTTGCCTGCTGCTCCCCTCAACAGTATATTTCTGTAGATCATCTTGTTCTGCTCCCCACTCTGTCTTTGGTGAATCCTTTCACTCCTATTCCTCTGGCCTACACCCCGGTTCTTTTATGCATAAATAAATAAAAAATAAATCTTTAAAAAAATGACTTTTTCTGAAGAGATAGGAAAATTGTTTCCTGTAAATCCCCAATAAAATTCTCCTGTGTTTTACCAACCCAAACTGGATTATATATCTATTTCTTTACCAATCCCTGTAGTCATGGAGCACTGTACAGTGATTAACTTAGGTTTGGACTTCTTGAACCAACCACTGATTGAAGCAATCATTGCTGGTTACTTCATCTTTGAAGGTTTGAGAGAAGACCCTTGTGAAACCATCTTGTCTCAGGTTTTTGGTTTTGGAGGGACATTTTTGACTGCCATTTAATTTCCTTATTTATAGTTGGTCTGTCAGGTTTTATATTTCCTTGGACTAAATCAGGTTGTATAATTCTAAGAATTTGTCCATTTTTTAAAATTATCCAAATCTATTTTGTCATAAAGGTGCTTGTAATACTACAAACATGTATTATCTTATGATCCTTTGTATTTCTGTGGTATGTGTTGTAACTTAAATATGTAATCTTAACAGATTGGATATGTTTTTCATCTACAATATTTCTTTTAGCAGGAATCATTACTCAGAGTGAAAGAAAATCTCACCATATTGTAGGAACACATTTTGTAATACTGTGTCATACAAATATTTTCAAAACACATCAGGATTTTAATTTAAATTTAGGCCTGGCCCTCAAAATTGTAAGAAGCCTCAGTTCAATCATTCAGACAAATTCAGGTCTGGCCACAAATAAGCTGCAATTAGGCCAACCCTCTTGCCATCCCAGTCAAGCCTCATCATCTTCCATCTCTGACATAGGACATGTTCCTCTGCACAATGAAATTCATGTCCAGGCACTTCTTAAGTCAAAATAAAACTATTTTATCAAAAATTAACTGAGTACTCTTTTAACTGCGTGATCAGTAATTGAGACATTTTTCTCAAGGACTAGCTACCAAGTTACTACAAGAACTAGATACCAAAGAGTTACTTTATTGACTTTCCTCTGACATGGAAACTAAGTAACTCTGACTTAGACAGATGTTGATGAATTTGCTTCTTTTTTATAAGGGAAATTAGTCTTTCTGATGGAGGTGGAAGAGTGACAAAGTCTTTTACATATCTTTAGCAGCATAGAGCTACTTGGGGTATTATTTTTTTCTACTAACATAATGAAATAATATAAGGGCTTTAAATGTAAGTGCTTGAAAAATTTATAAAAGATTTTGATATAGCAATTGTGCATAGACTCTAATCAAGAAAAACAAGTATCCTATGACAGATGCAGATAGATGCCAAAACCAATAAGTTCTGAAGCCGGATGTCTTGTTCAGTCTCCTTTTGGTGACACAGCAGTGGAAGATCCTCCTCAAGGTAGCATACACTGTTAAGTATTCTGATTCCAATTTAGTATATTGTCAAGTGTCCTCAGAAGAGTCAGTTTTTATTAAATTGTATTCAGTGCAGCTTTAGTGTTAAGTTTATTTTTTCTAATTTATTGCAATATAAATCTAATATAATATGGCATTAAGATGGATATTTTCTTGCATTATTTTCTGTATTATATATTTTGTATATGTATATGGCATATACAACAAATTAGTAATATTTATTTTTTTAAAGATTTATTTATTTATGCATATAAGAACTGGGGTACAGGCCAGAGGTTTCTGGAGGGGGGGGTGAGAATATCTGCCAGAGATAGACTGGGGAACAGAATAGGCACACTGACTGAAATACACTGCAGAGGGGAGCAGTGGGTGAGACAGGAGAGGTCTGCTACGCCATGTTGGTAGCTTCCTGGTCAACTGAGGATCGAACTCATATTACAGGACCTGTGGATAGCTTCACATTGTTGTGCTTAACCCATTGCACCACCAGGGAGGCCCCAAGTTTGTAATGTTTAAACATTGTATTTAATTGGAGCATAATGTTACTAATATTAAAACTGCCCAAATATATTGAAAAATGATGGTAACATATGAAAAAATGTATTGGTGTGATGATGATATGTATCATTAGGATGAAATGCCAAATCATTCTGTGATTTCTGTTTAAAGCCTTAGAAAATTATACATCTCCAAAGATATTTTTAGCTCATTTTCAGTAGAAACATATTTTCACACCCACACATCATTTTACTTGTATCTAAATGTTTTTTGAAATGATATGGTTCAATGAAATGATAATGGTAAAATCTCAGGTTCAAGTTTAGTGGAAATAAAACCATAATACAAACCATATCTGAGAAAAATTGTTAATTTTATATAAAATGCTGAAAATTATGAGTCAGTGCTCAAAAAAGTCTATGGATTTAATTTATATGTGTCATACATGTCTTCAAGTCAGATTTAAACTCACTGTTGAATGAATATTCATTAAACTACCATGAGATGCTTTTTTCTAACCAGAACAGATTAATAGCCTTGATTAGAATGATTATCTGATAAAGCAGTCTAGAATGGTCTTAATATATTCTGTAAAAATTAGCATCTCAAAGAATAATGTAATATGGCATTGCAGGATTTTGCATGATATTTATCTTTTATTATGGGGTTTTCAACTGTTGAACAAGGGAAAGCTTCTTAAAAAAATTTTCTCAAGATAATATGAATGGAAAATACTATTTGTCCATAATACATTTAAGCCACCTGCTTTGCACCATGGTTTTCTTCTTTTAAGGATGAAACCATTCTGCATTTTCTTTAGACTATTCAGAGGGCAAGTGTTCTTTTCATGAAAACCAGCTGTTCTGAGTAAATGCAAATATGTGTCACATCACAATTTGCTGAAGGGGCAGAGTTAAAAGCAAAACCTTTTGCTGTACTAATTAATTGGGAATCAACGCTTCATCAGTGACTATTGTCTGTGGCTACATGAAAATCTTCTAAGTACAAAGATTAGTTTAACAACATGACAATTATAGGAACCTAGAGATATGTGAGAGTTAATAAAGCACCAATAAACTGCAACCAACTTTAAAAATGGTCATTTTTAACAACTGAAAATAAGAGTTTGCATGAGGTGGATTGTAGAATATTTGTACATCAATCTGTTTAGCATTGAGTGGTGAAATCATTGAGAGGGCATATTCATTTAAATGGTGGGCAAAAACACTCCCTTGTATTCAGTGAGTCATTTCAAAAAATTCAGGTCCAAGCAGTACTATAGGCAGGTTTTATAATGGACAAGATAGACTTTCTTTCCATGGTGATTTCACATTTTGTGGGACAATACAATATCAGGGTTGCCATATTGCAAAGCTTCAGGGGGCACTATAGGTTACGATTATCATTCCTTTCATCCTAACACAGACTTTATGTGAATGGAGTCCCCTGAGTCTGTGCAGCACACACTGTAGAGCCAAATGTGGTGACCTTTTGCAATGAGAACAAATACCTGCTTGCTGAGGGTACTCTGAGAATGTAGGACTAGGAAATGGAGTCACTAACATTTTCTGGGAAAAGAGAAAGCTGTATGGGGAGGTTATCTTTTGGATGGTTCTTGAACTACAAAGAGCAGTGAAACAGGACATTTCAGGCAGAATCTGCATTATGCGTAAAGGCAAGGATACTGGATTTATCATCTGTTTAAAAAGTGGCAAGATACAGGCATTGCTCTAGTAGTGAAGAGCAGGAACAAGTTTGATAATGAAATAGGCAGGGGTTAATTTTGAGTGGTGTTTGTGGAATATCATTGGGAGAATGAGGTCATCATTTTTGTAGTCTGGAAAAAAATCAGTCTGACCAGAGTGTTAAAATGGAATGAAGATACTAGATTCTGTGAAACAAATCAGAAGGTTTGTCATTGCTGAAGCAAGAAATGATAAGGGCAGGAACCTTGTCTGTCTTTTTCATCATTATATTCCCAGTAGAATGGATAGTACTCGGGACATAAAGTTGAACTAATGAGCAGACAGTAGGAAGGATCCAAGATGCATTTAGAAAATAGAACTGACAGGATTTGAAGTTTTAAAAGATAGGATCAAAACACTTCAAACTACATTTCATATCAAGCAATATCAACTGTAACTAAAATGTTGTCCAGAGTCCAGTTATAGATTTTGGACAAATTACAGTGACCTGAACAGCCAAACTGTTCAACCATGTTTTCTTTACACAAATATCTGCAAAATATGTCTGAGAGGAACCATAAAGAACACTCTAAAACTTTCTATTTCTCACCAGTTCCTGTGGAATTACTATGTGCACTGCTGTGCTTGCACTGATTTAAATGTTCTGTTTTGGGGCCTCTCATTCAAATTCCCTGTTAATATACCTCATGTTGGTAA